TTGGGCTCTGGGCTGGACTTATCATTGGATTTGTGACTGAATATTACACCAGCAATGCCTACAGGTCTGAATTGCCTCTCTTACTTCTTTTTCCTCCATTTTTCTTCAGTTATAGTTCAGAATATGTCATTATTTTTTAAGTTGAACTAATTCTATCCTGGTCTTGGAATTCCATGGGCAGCCCTGTGCAAGACGTTGCAGATTCCTGCAGAACTGGTGCTGCTACCAACGTTATATTTGGTCTTGCCTTGGGATATAAATCAGTTATCATTCCCATTTTTGCTATTGCTATTAGCATTTTTGTTAGTTTCACCTTTGCTGCCATGTATGGCATTGCTGTGGCTGCTTTGGGTATGCTAAGCACGATCGCCACTGGGTTGGCCATCGATGCCTACGGTCCTATCAGTGACAATGCTGGAGGTATAGCTGAGATGGCTGGTATGAGCCACAGGATTCGTGAGAGAACTGATGCCCTTGATGCTGCTGGAAATACGACTGCTGCTATTGGAAAGGTATTTATTGCCTATTATCTTTCTTGTTGGATTATTTGGTGGAATATCTATGTATATAGAATTTGAAGTTGCGAAATTAAACTGAGAATATATTCATATAAACGAATAGAAATTTTATGCTTATTGTTAGGCCTAACTTAAAGAGAAGCACTAGTTACTACGACACAACTATAAACTGTATCACAAGAACTCCCTTGAGGTTGGCATGCACCCGAAAAATATACATTTTCTCATATATGTTAATTAAGTGCAATCTTGAACTGGGTGTCTGAAACACTTACGGGCTCTGGTAATTTTGAAAAAATGACTCTTTCTTAAAAAACAAACATTGAAAATAAAAATAGGCCGTACCTTGCGTGTAATTTGTATTTAATCCCTGAAGTTGTAACACCCGAATTGCACCAACTTGAGTATTTCTTTAAATACTCTAAGGGGATGTTTGGATACAACTCTATATAAAAATATCTAATCATTTTTAACCAATCAATCATTTTTACTCAAATCTAACTCAACTTTAACTCAACCCCACTATCCTATATCAATATAATTAAATAATACCAATTAATCATTATTACACATTACATCAACCTTAATTCACTATTCATCCACTCACATAATTTTAACTTAATTTTAACTGACCATCACTTCACATCACCTCTCTCTTACTTTTACATCAAATCAACTTTAATTATTTTATTTTAAATATTATTTTAATATAAACTCAAAATTCCACTTAACAGCTAATCATACTACTTTTTTCAAAATTAACCATACCAAACAAAAAAATCTAATCGAAACCACAAAAATTTATATCCAAGCATCCCCTTAAACGACTTGCTCTGTCTTTATGATGCCAAAACATGCTATTTCTTTCAGCAGCATTGTTCTTAGTAATCATATTAAAAATTGCATGTTGTTAACGAATACTCTGGCATTTGGTTGTTCACAGGGATTCGCAATCGGATCTGCCGCGCTCGTGTCGTTAGCCCTATTCGGCGCATTCGTGAGCCGAGCTGAGATCTTGACTGTTGATGTGTTGACTCCCAAAGTCTTCATAGGTCTGATTGTGGGGGCCATGCTTCCTTACTGGTTCTCAGCCATGACCATGAAGAGTGTTGGAAGTGCGGCTCTGAAGATGGTTGAGGAAGTCCGCCGGCAGTTCAACACCATCCCCGGGCTCATGGAGGGCCATTCAAAGCCCGACTATGCAACGTGCGTGAAGATCTCAACTGATGCCTCAATTAAGGAGATGATACCTCCCGGAGCACTCGTTATGCTTACTCCTCTCATTGTTGGGACCTTTTTCGGGGTCGAGACCCTCTCTGGCGTTCTCGCTGGCTCTCTTGTTTCTGGTGTTCAGGTAAGATTTTTACTTATTTTTGGGGTTTAAAAATTTTAGAGTTTTTGTGTTTATTGCAAGAACGCTCCTGATGTGTTTCAAGATTATCTAGTCATCTTGTTGTGCTAGAGAACCCCATTCAGCTCTCTATTCCCATAGTTCCGGAATGTCTACATGAGTCGGGATTGAGAAAGGCGTGTTTGTATACAAATATATCCGTTCAAAATGAGTTTTTTTGGTTAATCAGAGTTAATTTTGAGAATAGTTGTGTGGTTAGTTGGATTTTGATTTTATATTAAAATAATATTTAAAGTAAAATAATTAAAGTTGATTTGATATAAAAGTATGAGAGAGATGGTGTGAAGTGATGGTTAATTAAAATTATGTGAGTGAGTGAATAGTAAATTAAAGTTGATGTGATGTGTAATGATTGGTTGATATTATTTAATTATATTGATAATATTAGGATAGTTGAGTTGGGTTAAGGTTGAGTTAGATTTTAAGTATGAATTGAGTATAGATTGCGTATTGTCATAGACACACACCCAAAGGTTTTCAATCCCTTCACTTAAATCCTTTGTTCAATTGTACTCTCTCCTTCCATCCAAAATAGGTGAGTGGTCCCCCAAAAAATGAAAAAGAAAGGAATCAAAGTGTTTATGTTAATCCTCCTACCTTGAGTAACAGAAATGGATCTCCTATCCATCTATTTCATGTTTCATTCCATTGGATGAAAGAGTCATGCCATGATAATATCATATTTGTACACATGTCATTCATCCAATGGAATGAAACACAACATGAAACATGAAAGTGGAACAAGAGTTTTGGTCCCCTTAAAAATGCCCCCCTGAAGGTTGTTTGCCTTTATATTTCACAAACGTCCTTTTTTGGTGTCAAATAATAAAAATAGATTTTAAAGGTCTGACCCTTTTTTATTTTATTTTATTTGTTCATTCCCCAGTTAAACTAAACTTCAAGGGTAAAGACAAAATTCCAAAATAGATTGTTTTTTGGTCCCTATTTTTCTTGGCCTGACGATATTTCCCCTTTTGCATATTTTCTAATCAATCTCAATTTACAGATTGCGATTTCTGCATCCAACACCGGCGGTGCATGGGACAATGCAAAGAAATACATAGAGGTAGCAAACATCCCGGTTTCACAATTAAAGAATTGTTTTTCCCCTCAAACTTCTCTCTCTCTCTCTCTAAATTGTAGCAGTATGGCATTTGTTATTTTCTTTCTGAAAAGTCGATTTTTCGTCTTATGTACAGGCTGGCGCTTCGGAGCACGCCAGAACCCTGGGCCCTAAGGGATCAGAACCACACAAGGCAGCAGTCATTGGTGACACCATTGGGGACCCACTAAAGGACACCTCAGGACCTTCTCTCAACATCCTCATCAAGCTTATGGCTGTCGAGTCCCTTGTTTTTGCTCCCTTCTTCGCAACTCATGGGGGACTCTTATTCAAGCTGTGATGAAGGATATCTTAAAGAGTTTTTTGGTTCTTCACCGCTCTTCTACTGTGTCCTAGTAAGTTAACGAGACCCTTTTTGTGTTTTAATACAGCTGATAATGATGATAAAAAATTGTGGTGGGAGAAAAGGTTGCACGCCAAGCGAATATGCATTGGACCCTCATGTGTATCATCTCTTTTTGTTTAGCAGACGGCTAGTGTTTTAGTTTTTTCTTTTTTCTTCAATTTTTTTTTTTACTTAGCAAAATTGTAATGAAATTTAAACTCTCTTTAAGAACATGTATCCCTTCCTTACTTTCACGATGCCTTGATGTCTTGTGGTCTAATAGATCTTTTGGAGAGAATCCATGGTTGTGGGTTCTCTCCCAGGGGAAAATTCAACGAATTTGATTACTTGCAGAAAAATTTAGAATGCGAAAATAAAAGACTAAAGGGTGTGTTTGTATAATAAAAAGACTCAATCCATATTCAATTTATACTTGAAATTTAATTCAACTACAGTATCTTTCATATTATCAATATAATCCAATAATAATAACCAATCATTTATATACATCAAAACAACTTTTATTTATTATTCATTTATTCATGTAATTTTAACTGTAACTTTAGATCATTTTTCTTTTATTTTCACACAAATCAATTTTAATTATTATTTTAATATAAAATCACAAATTTCACTAGCAGATCATACAACTTTTTTTAAAATGAACTTTGGTTAGTCAAGAAAATTCAATATAAGAAATTTCATATTGAGCGGATATATTATACAAACATGTAAATACGAGTTCACAAAATACTTTCACAATTTAGTTCAACTCATTTTTTTTTTCACCTTCCAGAGTTTTCATATCGGTTGGATTAAGTATATATCATATGCCCTTTTCTCCTCCATTCCGTTTCTGTTCTTCTATCATATTGTGATTTTGTGCCTCACAAATATAGCCCTTCGAATAGGAATTTGTAAAAATTAGGCTGATTAAATGCCACTCATATTTTTCAATCAAATATTTTAACATCAACAAAACAAAATATATTCCGGATGATGCATTCTTTTGGGAAGACATTTTAAGACTTTGAGATTTGCGATTATATGAGATTTTGAGATTTAAGGGAATTTTTTGAAAATTTTCAGTCTGAAGGAGAGTTTTGGGTTGAAATTTCGTATAAAATTTTTATTTATGAAATCGTAACAAATTTTAAAAAGTTTAAGAAAATCTTAAGTTTGGAGGTGAGATTCGAATCGTATAAGATTTTTGTTTATACAATCACATTAAAGTCTTACAAAATCTCAGTGTCAAATAAGTTAAATACCTCGTGATTTGTTAAGACTCTTAGAAATCTATATATATATTGAAAAAGAGAGGTCAATAAATCATTTATGGAAACTTTTAAAAAAATAATGAGTCAACTATTTGACTTAGTATTATAAGTAATATTCTAAAACACATGTGATAATGATTTTCAAAAATTGTGGTAATCTGTTAGGATGTGATAGTGATAATGTTTTATCCCTGTTTTTTTGGAAATATCTTTGGTAATCTCTTCAAATTTTTTTGCCTTTTTTTTAACAACTTTAACAACCTACACAGATTATTTTAACAACTTTAATGATTATTATGCTAATTAACCAAATCTAATTTTTTATTAATATAAAGGAATCTAACCCGTCGTTGACTAGCTCTGTGGCGTAACTAATTAGTGATGTTTCCAGATCCGTCATTGGTGATTCCTTTGAGCACACATCATCATTCTCTTTCTCCTCAGAGTCGAGCCCTCTAATTTCCGATTGCGCGTCTTTCGGGACAACAGTTTTCACTTCTACCCCCTTCTCCACAACAGAGAACTCGCTAATTCCACCCTCGCTTTCACAAACCTTCTCACCTGCAGCATCTGAACAAAAATTATCCGACTCCAAATTATTCTTCGCCAACTTACCATAATCCTTTTCTAGCTCGGAGCCCGACAAAGGCAAGACTTCGTGAAGGTCCTTCACGTCCTCAGACGACTGGTCAAACGTCGACAGCCTGGCAGGGAGACTCTCCACCCGGTGAATCACACTCATCTCACCTGTGATAGAGTGGTGCTGGAACACGCGGTGGCCGGATTGGTGACCCACTGCGGCAGGAGCTCCATCTTGGAGGTTGTTATGTGCGGGATGCCGATGATCGGGTGGCCTATCTACGCGGAGCAGAAAATGAACAGGGTGTTCATGGTAGAGAAGATGGGGGTAGCGCTGCCGCTGGATGACGGGGACGACGAGTTTCGTGGTGGCGGCGGAGCAGAAGAAGTGGGTAAAAATTGGTTCTTTTTCTTCATATGCCCTAATTTTAATGCACTTTAATTGTGCTTTGTGCGTGTTTATGTGGTTTTTGTGGATATGGTGAAAAAATAAAATCGATATTGTTCATGCAGGATGTAAATAATGATGGGTTTAGGCATAAACTGGCTGAAGAGTTTCGATGATAATAATAGTCAATAACAGTTAAGATGTTTTTAGGGAGGTTGAAATCAAGAGAGACATTGTAACATGTAATAGCTATCATACACTTGTATGTGAATCTGTATACTTGTGATTATATCCAGAAATCTTTCCTCATAGTAGGAATTAGGAGGGATCATAAGTCTTGACAGTGAGAATTAGGATTTTGATTTAATTCCTAATTCATTCTTGATCAGTGGAATGTCAAGACTTAAACCAGTGTTTAAGAAATTATTCGCTTGTGGTTTTAAGAAATATAAACAAACGAATAAATTGTGATATATATCTAAGAACTCAGAAGCTAGCAGGAGTTCCAAATTTTAAAGCATGTGGCTGTCATTGTTATCTGTTCAGATCACTAAACTTTTTTTGCAGGACTTCACATTGTTTCCACTGTGCTCTTCTTTAACGGTACGGTAAAAAACAAAAATTGAAATGTTTGTTTATCATTGTAAACATTCTCTAAGAGGTCCTTATATGGCTGCTCTTTATGAACCTATAAGGGTAGTCAACATGTTTGGTCCACAAATGTTGAAGCTTTGGGAATGTAATATCAAGCCAAGGCTTTGCTCGGCCATTGAAATGGATGCCACGTACATGAACATGGAAAGCTATAAGCTCAGGAGGTATGGTTTTCTAGCTGCCATAAGCTCAGTTTTGACTTCATTTTGCATTTTGAAAGCATCATTAGAGAATCAATAGAGCTTTGATTTCATTGTCTGGCAAGTAATATTTCCTGAATATTCTTACAAATCTGAAAGTTGTAACATCTCTGAATTCTTCTTTAGTAATTACTGTTTGTCCCATTTTTGTTGCGTTTTTCCTTATTATTTTTCATTCCTTTTCCCCCGTTTTAGGTCTTTCCATTCGTTTTTAGTTCGTTTTGTTTATTATTGCGTGTTTTCCTTTATTTTGTGTCTTTCTGTATTTTCTCGGTCGTTTCTCGTTTTTCGCCGTCTGTGATGTGCAGGATTGGTCCATGGTCGATTTTGATATGGAGGAGAAAATTGATTTGACGAGCATTATCTTGTAGAAGAAGTCGTTGGCAATGCACAGGAGAAAAGGGAATCGAATTCGGGTTTCAAATGAGCTCGAACGAACACAAAAGGTGAAATCCAAGTTGCTGCTCCGAGCTCCGCGCCGTGAGCCTTTCCCGCGCCGCGACACTCCCAGGTCTTCACGCCGTGGCCAATCTCGTGACACCCTTAACGGGCCTTCAGACGGACGAGTTTTGCTGCCGCGCCGCTACGCCCCTCACGCCGCGAAGAAGAAGACCTCCGCGCCGCGCCCGAAGCTCCACGCCGTGAAGGAGAAGACCGCCGCGCCGTGATGCTGCCACGAGGTGGACTGCGACTCCAGCTTTCATTTACGCCGCGCCGTGAGCTGTTCCGCGCCGTGAAGAGGGAACCTGCCGCGAGCTGCTCCACGCCGTGAGGAAGAAGACGGCCGCGCCGCTGCACTCTGCCGCGCCGTGGTGAGGGAGTCTGCCGCGCCTGGTTTCCACGCCGTGCAGTCGTCTTACGTATATATATGAGATCGGGACTTTGCAAAAGATATCGATCATTATCGCTCATTCTCTCTGGACACACCCAAATACGACAAAACCCTACCCTCTTTCTTTTCTCTCGTTTTTCATCGTTCTTTCATTATTTTCAACGTAGAACACGGATTTGATCACGGATTTTGCTATTGCTTTCGGATTCAATCTTGTTATTCAGACTCTAACTTTGGGATTTTATCATTCTTCGTAAGATTTTCTTTTCATTTAGCTTGATGAATATGAATTCTTGGGTTGATATAAATTCTTGTGGTTATTCGATTATGAGTAGCTAAATCTTTATGCTAGGGATAGGGGGTTGATGTTTTGAATTCGATAGCAATTATCATATGCGTGATTGTTCAATTTGTACGAGTTAATCTTTTACTAGGGTTTTCAATTATCGGGCTCGAATATTGCGAATTGTTGAAGGGTGACACTTCAATCCCCAATTGTTTGCAATTGAATTCGATATATTCTTGCGTGATGTTGGTTATTCTAAACGGACTAGTTGATTAAACACCTTCTAGTCTACTGTAATCGACTCTTAGAACCGAAAGGGGAGGAGTCGGTCGAAATAGGCTCGTATGAACTAGGCTTGTTCGTAACTGTATTGCCTAGAAGTTAAATGAATTACTAATCTAACGTTCTAGTTTGTTCTCTTGTTACGAAAAGTTATTGAGGATGAGTGCTTGAACGTGTCGATTAGTCAAATCACTTAACTGAACAATATCTCGCTTGATAATTGCATTTTCGAACCAAAGCGGATCTCCCCGATTCCCTAGCTACTCAAATCCTAATTGTTCTTCGTTACTTGCTGTCTTATTGCTTAATTTGAATTTTCGCAGTAGTTGATAATTAAACCAAACCAATCTTTGAATTAGTATGTTTAGGAATTTAATTTCTTTTATTTGAGTTTGAATAACGTGCAAAGTAATCCGGCTGACCTTCCTCGAGAGACACGACTCGGTGTTCGAATCTCTTGATTCTACTCCGGAAAAATATTCACAACAAATTGGCGCCGTTGCCGGGGAAGGTTTAGGACATATTTTGTGCGCTTATTCATCTTTTTTTTTGTGTTTCTTTTTGGTTTTGTGTTTTTCTTGTTTTCTGTGTTTCTCTTTCTTATTTTATTTTCTTTTCTTTACCATTGGTGCTCGTAACCCGTTGTTTGTTTGAGTGTATGCGTACCAGGAGTGGACGTAAACTCTCTCCAATCAACAAACCCTTCAACGAGAGCCTGAGAGAATTGCTAGACGAGCTTACTCTCGAATCAAACGAAGAAGGCGAGCACCGACCAGAATCATCTGAGGGGAGTAACTCAGACATGGCTGATCAACAACCGTCTCGCAATATCCTTCGGAACCTGGCCCAACCCATGATCGGACCAATCACCTCTTGTATCCGGCTGGAGCACGATGCCCGAAATTATGAGCTGAAGATGGTCCACTACAATCAGCTCCCATCATTCCACGGGCTCCCCAATGAAGACCCACTCCACTTTCTTCGGGAGTTTTACAACGTTCTCCAGACGTTCCCTCTGCATGGGCTAACCGAGGACCAACTCAAAATGCGGTGTTTCCCAGAAACTTTAAAGGACCGGGCCAAGGCTTGGTTCATGACCCTCGCCCCGGATTCTCTATCAACTTGGGCCGAAGTCTACGCTAAATTCGTCGGGAAGTACTATTCCCATCAGAAGACCCAAGATATCCGGTCTCAGATAGTCTCCTTCGCTCAGCTGCCAAACGAGCCTCTTCACGAGGCTTGGGAACGTTTCAAGGACCTACAGAGGCAGTGCCCCCACCATAACCTCTCTCCTGGACTATTAGCGAACTGCTTCTATGACTCCCTCCATCAGAACTTGCAGTACATGGTGGATACTGCAGCCGGAGGGGACATTGGAGGCAGAACGGCAGAGGAGATGTTTGTGATATATGAGACGATGAGTGCGAACTCGTCTCAGAAGAGCATCAGAGGAAAGAGGGCGACAGTGCATGAGATTGGAACGAGTAACAATGCCATGGCCCAGCAGCTAGCCGAGCTCACGGAGCAGATGCGGCTACTAAATGCTCGAAGTTCCTCACCAATTCAGACAATGGCAGTAAATGCTTGTGGAGCATGTGGAGTTCAGGGACACAGTTCTGAGGTGTGCCCTATGGCTCTCGAGCCGAATTATGGAGAGCAAGGAGCTGAGGTCAATGCAGTGCAAGGATACCAGAACCGGCCCGGAAACGACCCGTACTCTAACACATACAACCCCGGGTGGAGAAATCACCCAAGTTTCTCCTGGTCTAACAACAACTCCCAGCAGCCGTCCCAACCTAACTTTGTCTCCCCTCAGCAGCAACACAGGGGACAATTGTTAAGGTTGCCTGCACCCGAAGCCGGTCCTAGCCCGCCAAACTCAGACGAAAAATTGGATAAAATCCTTCAGTACATGGCCAACGGTGAGCAGCGGAGTGCGAATAGTGAAGCTTCCATTAAACGTTTGGAGGCACAGCTAGGCCAGTTAGCCACCTGAGTGGGAAACATTGAGGTGGAGCTGAAAAAGGACAGATTGCCAAGCCAGCCAGAGCATGCAAATGCGGTAACTGTGATTTTGTCTGAGGCAGTGAATGAGGAAAAAGAGGACCCGAAAGAGCTTAGCCAAGTGGAGACCTCGAGAACACCACCCATCAAACCTACTTTACACAGATCCCCAAACCCTTACCGACCAAAGATTCCCTTCCCAAGCCGACTCTTGGAAGAGAAGGACCGCACTATGATTCGGGACCTTCATGCGATGTTGGCCAAGGCCAATGTCGGTATCTCCTCCCGATGTGTTGAAGAAGGTTCCGGCTTATGCACGGTTTTTCAAGGAAGTGGCTACGAACAAGAAGAGGTTTGAGAATGGAGAGGAGGTGCTTATCAGTGAGGCGGCGAGTGTCTTCCAGCATGACTTGCCGAAGAAAGAAAAGGATCCCGGAGGCTTTGTGATCACTATGGCCTTCGGAAATGGGGAAGAGACATCGGGATTGCTTGATCTTGGAGCAGGCATCAACCTCATGCCACTTGCAGTTTACCACCGACTCGGGCTAGGAAACTTGAAGCCCACCGGCATGCGCCTACAGCTAGCTGATCGCTCTTACCGTCGACCAGAAGGGATTGCCGAGGATGTGCTCGTACGAGTAGGAAAGTTGATAGTTCCCGTGGATTTTGTCGTGCTTGATGTCGGGAGCGTACAAGACAAAGGTAAGGAGCACGCCATCCTCCTCGGAAGACCCTTCATGGCGACCACGAGTACTGTTATAGACGTGAAGAAGGGGACGGCCAACATGACAGTATTGGGCGAGTCTGTCGCTATTTCCGTTCGAGAGACCAGGCCTGAGCCGCAGGCGAAAATGATTGAAGAGTGTGCCTACCTCAGGGAAATTGAGCAGCTCACAGAGGAGGCGTGCTTGCGGGAGCACGCCAAGAAGTCATTGCGGGACCGTAATAATGTTGAGAAAGGGTGCCATACTGACCGCCAGTTGAGTTCTAGAGAGTTGCCCCGATCCGAATGGGGCGAGAGATTTGAGCTGACAAAGGCCCACCGCTGTTTGGGGCCTGACTACCTCCACCCTCCGCCCGCACCACCGGATTCACAGTGACTAGTCTAGTCACTGTGCCATGTACGCTTGTATCTTTTCCCTTCTCCTTATTTTTGTTTTTGTTTTGGTGTTTTCTGTCTTTGTGCTTGGTTGATTATATGGGTAGACTTTCCTTGCACTGATGATCGACAATGGGGACATTGTTCGGTCTCAAGTGTGGGGGAGTTTTTGCATGATTATGTGCCTTATGTGGTTGACCAGGTCTAGTTCTTTTAGGTTATTTTCATTTTCTGTTTTTATTCTAGTGTCTTTTCTTGAGTCAGTTTGTGTGTTTTTGAGTATGGATTATGGCGAATTTTGAGATTTGTTGATGATTGTTAACGATGTTGAGGAGATGTGATGATGATCATGACCAGTATGCCTTGATGAACTTGATGTGTCGTTTTGTTGGACATATATTTACCTTATGTGAGGTTTGAGCCTTGGTTGTTTCTTGAGAGATATTGGTCGGATTCGTGTTGATTAGAACTTGCTTTGAGTTTGTTTTGAAATGAAGCATTTGAGTTTGTGTGATGTGAAAATGATTGAGGCGTTCTTTGTATTTTCATTCCCTTTTTTTTTTGTGTAATNTCAACAGTGCTATACTACTTATTTTATAATAAATAATCGAATCTTCATTCTTAAGTCCACGCTGTTAGAGAAAATGAACAATTCGAGAAAAGAAAAACGCGTTTTAAGTTTTAACAGAACACTTCTTAAGAATCTATATATATTGAAAAAGAGAGTTTAATAAATCATTTATGGAAACTTTAAAAAAAAATAATGAGTCAACCATTTGACTTAATATTATAAGTAATATTCTAAAACATGTGATAATGATTTTCAAAAATTTTGGTAATTTGTTAGGATATGATAGTGATAATGTTTTATCCCTATTTTTTTGGAAATATCTTTGATAATCTGTTCAAATTTTTTTGCCTTTTTTTTAACAACTTTAGCAACCTACACAGATTTTTTTTAACAACTTTAACGATTATTATGCTAATTAACCAAATCTAATTTTTTATTATCATAAAGGAATCTAACCCGTCGTTGACTAGCTCTGTGGCGTAACTAATTAGTGTTGTTTTCAGATCCTTCATTAGCGATTCCTTTGAGCACACATCATCATTCTCTTTCTCCTCAGAGTTGAGCCCTCTAATTTCCGATTGCGCGTCTTTCGGGACAACAGTTTCCACTTCTACCCTCTTCTCCATAACAGAGAACTCGCTAATTCCACCCTCGCTTTCACAAACCTTCTCACCTGCAGCATCTAAACAAAAATTATCCGACTCCAAATTATTCTTCGCCAACTTACCATAATCCTTTTTCAGCTCGGAGCCCAACAAAGGCAAGACCTCGTGAAGGTCCTTCACATCCTCAGACGGCTGGTCAAACGTCGACAGCCTGGCAGGGAGAGTCTCCACCCGGCTAATCACACTCATCTCACCTGTGATAGAGTGGTGCTGGAACACGCGTGGCCGGATTCGTGACCCACTGCGACAGGAGCTCCATCCTGGAGGTTGTTATGTGCGGGATGTCGATGATCGGGTGGCCTACCTACGCGGAGTAGAGAATGAACAGGGTGTTCATGGTAGATAAGATGGGGGTAGCGCTACCGCTGGATGACGGGGATGACGAGTTTCATGGTGGTGGCGGAGCAGAAGAAGTAGGTAAAAATTGGTTCTTTTTCTTCATATGCACTAATTTTTATGCACTTTAATTGTGCTTTGTGCGTGTTTATGTGGTTCTTGTGGATATGATGAAAAAATAAAATCGATATTGTTCACGCAGGATGTAAATAATGACGGGTTTAAGCATAAACTGGCTGAAGAGTTTGGATGATAATAATAGTCAATAACAGTTAAGATGTTTTTAGGGAGGTTGGAATCAAGAGAGACATTGTAACATGTAATAGCTATCATACACTTGTATGTGAATCTGTATACTTGTGATAATATCCAGAAATATTTCCTCATGGTAGGATTTAGGAGGGATAATAAGTCTTGACAGTGAGAATTAGGATTTTGATTTAATTCCTAATTCATTCTTGATTAGTGGAATGTTAAGACTTAAACCAGTGTTTAAGAAATTAATCGCTTGTGGTTTTAAGAAATATAAACAAACGAATAAAGTGTGATATATATCTAAGAACTAAGAAGCTAGCATGAGTTCCAAATTTTAAAGCCTGTGGCTGTCATTGTTATCTGTTCAGATCACTAAACTTTTTTTGCAGGACTTCACATTTGTTTCCCCTGTGCTCTCCTTTTAACGGTACGGTAAAAAACAAAAATTGAAATGTTTGTTTATCATTGTAAACATTCTCTAAGATGCTCTTATATGGCTGCTGTTTATGAACCTATAAGGGTAGTCAACATGTTTGGTCCACAAATGTTGAAGCTTTGGAAAATGCAATATCGAGCCAAGGCTTTGCTCGGCCATTGAAATGGATAACACGTACATGAACATGGAAAGCTAGAAGCTCAGGAGGTATGGTTTTCTAGCTGCCATAAGCTCAATTCTGACTTCATTCTGCATTTTGAAAGCATCATAAGAGAATCAATAGAGCTTTGATTTCATTGTCTGGCAAGTAATATTTCCTGAATATTCTTACAAATCTGAAAGTTGTAACATCTCCGAATTCTATTTTAGTAATTGGAGCAGCTATGCCATTCTAATGTAGTGTTGAATTACAAGAACTATTAAGTTTAGCCTTCTTACATAAATTTAGTTATCTTTTTAGATGTATACAATTATGATATACAAACTTCATCTATAAATCTTGAAAGTTGTAAAGTATAAACATATATTAGAAATGCATTTGTAATATTTAAAGATGGCTGCTTCTTTCTTCTTCTTCTTCTTCTTCTTCTTCTTCTTCTTCTTCTTCTTCTTCTTCTTCTTCTTCTTCTTTTTTTTGCCATTATTAGCATGTTGGAATGAATTGTGTTGAGAAAAATTTGTTCTGGGGCAATGAAGAACACGAAAAATAAAATAAAAATTGGAGGGCAAATGTATGCGGATGTGGTTCATGAGTGCGCTGTACTTGGGGCTCAAAGCCTGCAACTTAGCAGCAATAACATGTGGTTTTTTTGTATTCCTGAAGCTTGGCTGTTCTCATCCTTTTTCAATTAAGATTTCGTTTTATTTGCCAGTAAAATCTTTTTGCACATATATTATAACATCATAATTTATTGTGTAGTTGCATTAACAAGACTACGTCACACCTCTTGTGAATGTGTAAGGTGTGTGCATTATTATTAGCATGCATACAAAATAAAGATTTTATTTGTAAAATTGGGAAAAATATCAAGTAATTGTCTTTGGTTTCTTTGTGAAACAAATTTTGTTTTGTACTGTGAGAATTGAATAAAATCAAGGGAGTATATTATGTGTGGGTGCAGAGTTATGAATATTTTGATATGAATGTTTCGCCCTTCATTTCTGCAATAAATTATATTTGACTACACATGTTCGAAAAAAATTTATGCTAAAATATATAAAATTTAAGTAAATATTTATTTCAAGCATAATTAACATATATTACTATAAATTGGAAAAATTAAACTAATGAATAATTTATCAAGTGTCTTAAATTGAAAATCATTAAGTTTTATACCTTTGAAATAAATAATATTACACCCGCTTTATATTAAATTATTTTAGAGACTAAATTTATTTACAAAATAAATATTATTTTAAATCTAACCACAATTTTCTAACTTTAAGTTTACTTATCTAATACTAATAAGGTATTAGTATGAACAACGAGATTTAATAGGAATTTTATGCATTTATTAGATGTTAAAATTTTTCTATTTATCTGCATAAAAACTTTGAACAATACTTATATGGACTTTTTAAATTTTAAATTATTACATATCATTAAAAATAAAGAAAATTATTATTAAATTATTTCTATGTTAATAAATATTCTTCTATAATTTTTATGATGGATCATTATCGTCCCGTGCATCGCACGGGCTCTGTACTAGTTTTAAATGAATACATAAAAACTTTTAAAAGTTTTTAAAATTCAAATTAAATACACCAAAATTTTTTTAATCTAAATAAATCTTTAAGAATCCCAAATGAGTACACCTCATTTAAATGCGTAGCGATCAGTAATTTTTGGAAGCAATTGAAGACGGTTTTGGGATGAATTTATCAGTGTTTTCAATACCGTACTGTACCGGCCGGTAATACCGGTAATACCGGATACCGACCATTGGTACGGTACAATTGTACCAGAATACTTGATTTACGGTTATACCAGTTTGTACCGGGGTCATACCGTAAATACCGGTCATAAATAAAAATTAAAAAAATTTAAAAAAAAAATATTAATTTAAAAACATAAAATTTAAATTGGTAGTTAGAATATTTTATTTTTATCTCATTGGTAAGTTAAAATTAATGATTATGGTCATTTATTTTTTTTACTTTTTTGCATTTGGTATAATACATTTTTATACAAAATGTATATATCATTATATTTACTAATCCGGTAATACCACCGATATTACCGGTCCTACCGGTAATACCGCGTACCGGTGGCTAGACCGGTATAACCACCGGTATGACCACCGGTACGGTATTTAAAACACTAGAATTTATTGGTAAAAAATGATTTTTGATACTGATATGGAGGATGCCATTCATTACAAGGCCGAAATTTTTGGTATTGTATTAATTCAAGGGCTGAACTTTTATTGTTTCTCAATATAAGGTTTATATTTTAGGCTATTCCAATTTCAGGTCCACTTTAATATTTGATTTCTCAATGCAAGACTCAACTATAAAAATCAACTAACTTTATTTTATGATATAATTATGTGAACAAAAATATTAAACTTTTGTACTTTATATTTTACATACTTATAATAAAAAATAATAATATCTTTAGTAAAATTACCTCAGTAAGTAAACGAGTATGTATAAATTACTTTATGCAAAATTTTAATGAAGATTATTTATAAAAATTGATAAGTGAATTTAAATAATATGTAATTTAAATATTATCTTAATTAATAATCTAAGTATCTAATAAAAATAATAAATAATATTTATGTACAATTTTCAATTTTGTTTTTTTATTACTTCACCTTTAAATTTTCTATTATTGTTCCATACTTTGCATATTTATAATATTAACCAAAATAATATTAAATTTTTGTATTTTTAAATTCTCTTATCATTTTTTGAAAATAAAATTTATTAAATTTTTGCATAAGTATAACTTATGTGGATCAATCTTCTCATTTAAAATAATTGTTAAACTTATTTAATATTTTTGTTATCAATATGTAAATATAGATAATATTTTATAATATTATGATTTACATATTTATGTCAAACAATAAAGTTAGTTGGGTCTTACATTAATAAGTTAAATAAAAGATGAGCCTCAAATTGAAAATAACATAAAATGTAAACCTTCTATTGAGAAATAATAAAATTCAAGTCTTAAATTAATACAATTTTAAAATGTTAGGTTTTGTATTGAAATTTCCCAATGGATATGGATGGTTGATATTTTTTATTCATTTTCTTTTTAAAAAATGAAAACTACTACTATATTAAACATAAATAAAGTACAATCGAAAACAAACACGTTAGAATGATTATTTTGATAATGAACATGTTAGAATGATTATTTTAATTGTCAAGTGGCAGGAAGAAACAAACTAGGCGGAGTCACTATATCATAAGAGCTCTCACTCCATAAAGAGAAAACTAGGGGTGAGCAAAACCGAGCCGAAACCGAAAAACCTAACCGAACCGATATATTCAGTGCGGCGATAATCGAATTCCACCCTGCCTCGCCGCACCCAGATATGTAGGTCGTCTCGCAGCGACGACTCAGGCTCGACTCAGTCAATCCCAGATCTCGTCGCCGCCGTCGATTTCTCGCCAGCGTAGTTGACGGCGATGATGTGGCCGCCGACGCCACCAATGGGGCAAGCGTCGACGACTGCGAGAAATTGCTGGGAAGGCGAGGAGATTTCTTTTTTTTCTTGTGGCAGATGTGTGTGACTGTGTGTGTGAGAGAGAGAGAGTGTGTGAGAGAGAAACTGATAGTGTGTGCCGCGTGAGAGGTGTGATGAGATGGGTCGGTGGGGGTTGTGCAAGTTTTGGTGGGGCCCACTGAAGGGGAATGCAGTATTGACTGATTTACCCTTAATGAGCGTAAAACAATGATGCTTTTTTAGCTGTTGAATTATTTGATCGGATGATTGTGATTTATTCTTATTTCTTTCACTGAGTACTATTCTCACGGGAGTGTGACCCTATATATATATATATATAGGTAGGTAGTTGAGAGGAAATAGAAAAGTTTGGTGGGGAATATAGAGAAAATAAACAAATTAGAGATTGAAGAAGAAAGATTTATGGTTTAAGATTTAGTGACAAATTGCTATTATTAATTTTAAAGTAAATTGTAATTATAGTCCTGTATGTTTCACTACCTTAAATTTTTTAGTCTTCTTTGAATTGCGTTTTTTATTTTCGTCTCGTATATTTGCAAAAAGTTTACAAAAAAGTTTTTTTTCGCAACAAAAGTATCCTTTATGTTTTGCAAAAAGAAAGTTTTAATTTCATCCCTTATGTATAAAAAGAACTTTTTTGTAACCCATTTGTAAACATACAAAACAAAAATAAAAAGCGGAGTTTAAAAAGGACAAACAAATTAAGATAGTGAAACATACATTACTAAATTTTTTTTAATGAGCCTGATCTAACTTTTAATTTTTAATGAACCTGATCTAACTTCTAAAAGGAAGAGCCAGTTTTCGTAAATTCCACCAATAGAAACGTCGCAGAAAAAACCCAAAAATTTGTGCTCCTCTGTACGTCTTTTTATTTCTGNTCGAGATCTTGAGCTTCCCCAATCTCCTCGTTCCAACCCCAAGACCCCATTTTCTGTGTAAGTCTCTCTGTTTCCTTACCCTCGTTTTGGAGCTCTAAATTTTTCTGTATGTACAGATGCGTGCATATACCTAGTGAGAAACAGAAATGGACAGCAATTATTCGAAATTAGACGAATTAGATGGGAACCATCGATACAGAAACCCATATTCGAGATTAATCCCACCCGATCACACAGACGGGTTTTCGAATCTGCAAAATGCAGATGATTTAGATGCCGAAGATGGCATCGATTTGGACGATTTACCCCTAATCTTCGGTGAAAGAAAATCGGGGTCGGGATTATACGGTGCCGTCTTCAACCTCACCACGTCAATTATTGGGGCCGGCATCATGGCCCTCCCGGCCACAATGAAAGTCCTGGGCCTTGTCTTGGGAGTGACCTTGATTTTTTTGATGGGGATTTTATCTGAAATCAGTGTCGAGTTATTAGTCCGATTTGCAGTCCAGTGCAGAGCGGCTTCATACGGGGAGGTTGTGCAGACTGCACTGGGCAGAACAGCTAGGGTTTTGTCTGAAATTTGCATAATTGTTAATAA